TGGAAATACCATAATTATGGCCTTTTTTCCACAAGAACTTGATATTACAACACCGTATTCGTGACATTTTTATTCAAGGACTTCAGATAAAAATACAATTATTTTCGTTCACTTTTTTCACATAAGAAAAATTCCAAAGTAGATCATTGCAATAAGATCATGCTAAAGGTTTCTATTTTTGAATACGCAATTATTTAGATTTTTTATGACAAATCATTACTTTAACTAATAAATACCAATGATTCTGTATGTTTGTACAGTTAAACAGTTTTGTACAGGTTAAAGTTACACATCTTAAAAAATTCAACATACAAAAAAATGATAATAAAGTACACAGCTTGATAACTAGTCTTCTAAATGAAGAAGTAATTCTGTTTTGGGGCGTGTTTTAAGAATCTGGTGATTCAAGCAAGTCTTCTAAATGAAGAAGTAATTCTGTTTTGGGGGTTACTTCTTCATTTAGAAGACTTGCTTGAATCACCAGATTCTCAAAACATGTTCTGTTTTGGGGCATATTTTGAGAATCTGGTGATTCAAGCAAGTCTTCTAAATGAAGAAGTAATTCTGTTTTGGGGCGTGTTTTGAGAATGTGGTGATTCAAGCAAGTCTTCTAAATGAAGAAGTAATTCTGTTTTTGGGCGTGTTTTAAAATCTGGTGATTCAAGCAAGTCTTCTAACATTTTCACTGTAGAGATAACTCAGTAACACACACTTTCACAACCGAACAATTGCTTTCAGCTAAACTTCTTTTATCGAGATTTACGCTCTAGTTTTGTAACTGACTGTTTCTCAAGCCACACATACTTAATTCCTTCACCCACTAAAAGCGCACCCTCTCCCTCTCTACAATTCATCAGGCTGTATACGTTCTCTCAGTCTCAGTTCGAGAAGGTTGCGTAGATGTTGAGATCGTAGCTTAGACAACACTGTTTCTCAAGCCAGACATACTTAATTCCTTCGCCCACTAAAAGCGCACCCTCTCCCTCTCTACAATTCATCAGGCTGTATACGTTCTCTCAGTCTCAGTTTGAGAAGGTTGCGTAGATGTTGAGATCGTAGCTTAGACAACACACGCACATATATACATATACATAATTAATGTTATATTTTAAATTATAGAATATATAGTGAATAGTTTACTCTACACAATAGAATCAACTTGCATGTTCGTGCATGAACATATGGTAAGCTAGGTTGCACTGACAGTAGTTGTATTTAATTGAATTATAATATTATACTGTTCTAAGAAATTGGTACATGCAGTTTTAATTTAGTTGAAATGTAAGAAAGTTAAAATATTTAAAACGTACACGCTCTATATACACAGAGTAAATCTGTATATATATGTGTATGTACTAAAAATAGCACGACACAATATTTAACATCGATATACACGGTAGCTTTTCTGTATTTCTTATATAATAACTGGAACAAAACTTCACATCATATACTGACTTGACGATAAGAGTAACTCAATAATTCAAAGAACCCTAGGGGCACACGAGTTTTAACCTTCGTAAAAACCTTTTCACATTCTAGTAGAGAAAAACTTTCACTAAAGCTCAAATCAAATTTTCTCGTGCCACAACTCCCCACATGTCCAATATGGAAGTGTTGTTTAATCCAAGATAGAAGTGTTGTTTAATCCAATATTGGAGTGTTGTCCAATCAAAGATAGAAGTGTTGTTTAATCCAATATGGGAGTGTTGCTTAATCCAAGATATATTGGATTAAACAACACTTCTGAAGTGTT